AGGACCTATGTGTCAGTTTTCACTGCAGGTGAAATCATCTTCGAATGTGTGTATGTTACCCAAAGAGCATGCCTATCGAGTCAGGTGAATACAAAGAGCATCTTACAGGGGAAAACAGGCCGTGAAGGATCATTTGAGCCAGGTGGGAATATGGGGACCAGAGTAGGGTTCTTGAGTGTGAAGAAGGCAGAAGGATGGGAAGGGGGTGGTTTTGGACAGTCAGAGGAACCTTGTTCATTATTTTGAAAGTCTAGGAAGATGGAAGGATGCTATTGGCTCACTCATTCGTTCATTGAAACCAAATACTCCTGTATCTCGTATCTCATTCATGGTGGTTGTTCTATCAGACAACAGTCTCGAAAAATTGACTGGCGATTGTTTTATAAAGACTTCATGTTTTTCTTGTTTGTTTGTTCTTATTTGATGCTGTTTTTGAAACAGGACTCTCTAACCCAGGCTAACCTCCAATTCATGATTCTTTTGCCTCATCCTCCTAAGTAGGTAGGATCATAGGCATATGCCACCACACTCAACAAAGACTTCATTTTGTTAGTATTTTAAAACAATGTTGTATACAAGTTTGAGAGTGAGAAATGTGCATGTGTGTGCAGATGCTACAAGTCAATATAGTACATCCTCCTCATATTCTCAGGAACTTATTTTTTGAGACAGGGCCTCATACTAAACCCGGAGCTCTCCAATTTGGTTAGACTAGAGATCAGCTCACTCCAGGAATCTGCCTGTCCCTACAACCCTAGTGCTGGAATTAAACGTGCCCACCACCATGCCGGGAATTTCTTTCTTCAATGTGATGTCTGGGGGATCAAACTCAGGTCCTGATGCTTGTACTCAATACACTTTACCAACTGGGTCAGCTTCTCATCCCTCAAGACTTCACTGTTTAAAGTCCAGGCTTGCAGTAAAACTGGGAGAGGAAGAACCAGAGACATCAGCTGCACCCATACCTCCCGCCACTCCCGACATAGCCTCTTCCATTATCAACTTCTTGTGTCTGAATGATGCATTTGTTTCAATCCACTCACTCTGTGACTGCTGTCCTATGACATGAAGCTTCTACTTACTTCTCTTGGGATTCAGTCCTGCTGCTGCACATATTACAGGTATGGACCACTACATATTGACATGCTGCATTCTACCCACTTAATCCCCCTCTTCCCTGACTTACAGCAAACGCCAACCTTTTTGCTATCTCCAAACTGTCACAAAGTATGTTTTTGACAGTCTCCATGTCTTTTCATTGCTTGCTATCAGTTTTTGGTGCAGGATAATATTTCATTGACTGGATGGCCTGGTCTCTCGCTGGCCTATCATAGGATAACTGCATCGCTTGTAGGTCTTAGTAATCATGAGTAAAGCTGGTTCTAAAGTCAGCCCTGTGCATATTTTGTGTAGATAGAGGTTTTTAACTCCTCTGAATAAGTAACTATACTTGTTCTGGTAAAGTATTCTTTATCAGGGTAAGTAAATTCCCCCTCCTTTCCTACTTTACTGGGAGTTTTCACTTTGAATGGGTATCAAATGGTTTTCAAATGGTTACTGATATGGCACATGATTTTTCTTCCTTGGTGTATTGATGTGATGGGTTACACTCACTGGATTTCAAATGGTCATCCAGGCTTGCATGACAGGAACACTGATATTCCAGTGCCTGGTGAGCGATCATCAGGACACAGTAGAATATTCTTGGCATGAACTTGTTGAGTTTTTGTTGAAGATTTTCATGTCTATGTTTATGTTATTGTTCTGTAGCTTTCTCTCTCTTTTGTATTATTATTGTCTGATTTTGATAGTAGGTGCTGTTAACACTCACTGCATGAGTTTGTGCTCTCTGATTTTGTGTTACAGGAGAGACTGGGGAAGCTTCTTCCTAACTGGTGACTCCTTTTGGCTTGGCGCTTACTGTCTGGCAGTTTACTAACAATGATGGAGTGGATCTCCTCAGTAGGTAAAGGTCTTCAGAGAATGTTCTCACTAGAATGTTTTGGTAGATTGTGTCTTTTACAGACTTGGTACATTTTATCTGTGAGATTGTAAATATCAGAGTTTTCAGTCCATGATCTCCTGTGATACTCTCTTTCAACTGAGATATTTATAGTATGTTTCTTATTTCCTAGTTCCTCACAAAGCCTGGTCAGAAGGCTTTGTTTGTTTGTTTTAATCTTTCTGAAAAACCAATTTTTTTTCTTTCATTAGTTTTCTCTTTTGATTCCCTGTTTCCATCCACTTCTTTCTCTTTCTCTCTCCCATCTATTTTCTTCACAGTTTGGATTTCATTTGTTCTTTAGTTTGCTAATACAGAAGCTTAGTTACATGGCTTTAGATCTTTTTTTTTCCTAATAAATGCATTAATTTCACACCCTTATTCTAAGTACTATTTCATTTTATCTTATAAATTTTTATAAGCTGATTATCATTTTCTTGGGAAAAGTAAATTTGTCTTGTCTCTAGCTTGTTAGTTATTTAGCATGGTGGCTCTTTAGTCTCATAGCACCTGAGGACTTGTCCAGCTGTCTTCCTGTTCCTGGTTTCTGTTGTCCTTTGTCTGTTGAAGGGCGGATCACATTTACACTTCAAATGTCCTTTTAAATGTATTACGAAGGACTTAACAACCAGACAAGTCCAGGTTGCTAAATCTTTCATGAAAGCTTGAGAAGAAGGTTTATTCTGCTGGCACTGGACAAAGGTGCCTCTAAATGTCAATGACATCCAGTTTGATTGATGGTGGTGTCGTCATCAGCGATGACCTTGCTAAGAGTCTGCTTGTAGCTCTGCTGTTTCCAATGGAAGGATGCTGAAGTCTCCACTCTGCTGGAGGATTTGCTGCTGTTTCTACTTCACTCAGTCCCCTTTTCTCTCCCACTCACTCACCACCACTGCCCCCTCCCTCCCTCCTTTCTTCCCTCCCTCCCTCCCTCCCTTCCTCCCTCTTTCTGAGACTAGTACGCTTTTTCTTGTGCTTTGTAGTCTTTTGTTACACATCATACCTGATGAACTCGGTAAAAAGGATTATCCTATATATCCCTTTAGTAGTGTGGGAAAGCTGTCTGTCTGTCTGTCTGTCTGTGAGCCTGTGCCCCTGAACGACCTTCAAGGTACTCATACATACATACACACACATACACACACACATTACACACACATACACACACTCTCTCTCTCACTCTCTACCCCTCCCTCCCTTTGCCCCTCACCCTCACCTCTCCTTCACCCTCTCTCCCCATCGCTTCTAAGATAGGATAGCACTGGTCTTCCCATCTCCCTTGTCTCTTACACGATGGTAATAGTCCTCCAATTTCCCTCCAGTCCCCGCCCCCAAGGGTGGGTCTTCTCAAGAGTACACTGCTCTGTCTTCTTTCATTAAGCACCACCCCCCACCACCACCACCTTATTGGAGAAGAGGGATGCTCTTTCATATGCATCCTGACAATCTCTTTGATCCTCTGGAGGTAATAGGGATCGAGGCTGCTTGAAGCAGAACTCCAGAGCTCTGCATCCGCCCCCCCTCCAAACCAAGGCTTTGGCAATTTGCCAAGGATAGTTCCAGCTTCCTGCCCAGTGGGAGGTTGTGGGGCAATGAGTGTCTTGTGACTCTTTGTGTCTGCCTGACTTCTAAAGACTCATTTCTCTCACAGATCTTAGAGCCCTCTGACCCTCGAGTTTGTTCAGCTGCAGAAATGCTCCTGGTCAGTGCAGAAGACTGTGGAATGATTTTTTTCTTTTCATTTTAAAAAACTTACAGCTGATTGAACCTTCACCTTCAGTTCTGAATCTCTAGATATTTGTTTTGTATCCTCTACAGTCCAAGGAGGAAGATAAGAGGATAAACTTTTTCTGCAATGTTTTATTCATCTCAGAACCCATAAACTTCCACTCACTCATCTTTCCCGGTGTTAGGCAAAATGCTCTCAGGGGATGGAAGACTCATCCTGGGGGGGCCAGGGTGCTCGGCTTTATTTGATGTCCCTGCTATCTACTCAATATGGCAGGCAGAACCTGTATCTGAAAAAAATGGTGGTACAGTCAAGAGGGCCCAAAACCTTCCTGGTGAGATGCAGTAATCAACTAGCTGTCAGAGAGCTGGAAGACATTTCAATAAAGATATAGTCAGAACTCTGAAAGCCACCATTACTCAACACAGCAACCAGAAAGGAAAGCCCCAAAGGGTGGGGCCTGTGGAATGGGTACCTCTTTGTTTCCTGCTGCTTGTAGATCATTGATCAACAATCTATGGCCCATAAGACTGGGTTTTACATAATAGCACCCTGCAGGGGCGAGTGCTTTCCTTTTAAAAATCACTTTCAATAAAAACAAAAATCCATTGTCTTTTTTCCTAACAGAAGGCTTTGATGTTTATTGAGAACAAAACATTGCACTGATTCCCCACAACTAGTAACATCTTCAAAAGATCAAAAAATAAAGCAAATGGGTATATAGCTTCGAAGAGGTCAGGAGAAGAAACTGGAATATGAGTAGGGTTTAAAATGCACACTCGAAAGTGCTCTCCGGAGTGAGGGACATTTACACTGGTAAATTTACAATGCTTGCTTCCTGCAATACCCCTGCCTGCCTCATCATGTCCCTATTGAGAACATGACTGACTGACCAGCAATGGTAACATTCATTTTAAGAAAAAGAAGCCTAGAAAATGGTGGTATTTCTATTTTCCTTATTTCATCCATAGTTATTTGTATTTTAACGTTTAAGCTTTAGGTAGAATATTGGTTCTTTACAATTAACCCCTAAAATATTCTATCAGTAAAATACTAAGTTATATACAATAATGACATTTGTAGAATTCTAGTTGTTAGACTCTACTTATCTCAAAAAGATACAGGGATTAGAAGTATTAAGGGGAATTCTATAATATCTTCCTAAAGTAGCATAATGAGCCAAGAATTTTGTCCTGTTACCCAACAGGACAATTTGGTTTGAAAGAATGTTTTGTCAGATGTAAATACAAGCATGTACTTGATATGTACCTTGGACAACTCCATGCCAGGCCCACACTGTTTGCAGAGGACACAATTTCCAGACTGATCCTTGAATTCTTGCTGTCTGCAGTCTCCAGTTTCACAAATCACTTTACATGACTGGAAAAGAAAATATTTCCCAAAATGTTACCTTCACTCCACTCCTCAGGCTGCTTGCAAGAAAGAAATGACACAGTAAAAACTGCCTTAGCATGGCATTGATTTAAGTTGTGATTTAAGAAGAACCACTGCTTTCTGAATGAGTTCAGGGGACAAAAAAATCTGTAACAAATCCTTCTTAGCTCAGAGAAGGTCCATTCATCCCATAACCAGGGACCCTTGTTCTAGACTTAACTATAACCCCACAAAACAACAACCAACTATTCTGACTTCTTCATTAACTGTTTAGATCCTGGAAATCAACTTAGAATTTATGGTCTTCCTAGACTCTAAGCCATCTGTTACTCTGATAATGATGATGATGATGATGAGGGACCCCAGGACTTTTGCTACCTGAAAACTTCTGAATTAAATCAACCAACCTTTTATGATCTTAGGAGAGTATGAACAACTCTAATAATGCATACAGGGTGAGATGGAGTCACACCACCACAGGAACTTGTGATTATTCTCTAGATATCGCTGAACTTAATTTTTAAAAAGTTGTTGCTGCTGTTGTTTATTTGAGATGGGATCTCAAGATGTTGCCCAGGCTGGCCTCAAACTCCCTACCTTTATGCCTCCTCTCCCCAAGTACTGTCCCCTGGTTGGATGGAGATTCCAGGTGCACTACACTCACTTTGAAAACTCCTATCTGACAGCCATGAGCTCACACCTCCTGAGGATGGCAGTGGAAATAGAGATGAAAAATGGCTAGCTCTGGACTCTTCTCAACAAAAGTGCTGTGTGAATCTGAACTCATCCTCACTGATCACCCTCCAGCCCTTCCTGGGGCTGAACAGTGTGCTTTAGCTCAGAGCGTAGACCTTACATGGGAAAAAACCACACTGTGATTAAACCCCCACCATTCATTAGCTTAATTAACTTAGCAACATCCATCTATCTACTAAAACCAAGCTCACATTATTACTGTCATTCTATACATATGTATTTACTTGAATTTTTTACATTTATTTATTTACATATTTATTTGTGTGTGTGTAGTGCACATGAAACAACACTTATGTGGAGGTCGGAGGGCAGTTTGTGGGAGTTAGTTCTCTCCCTCCACCATATGGGCCCAGGCATCAAACTGAAGTCATTAGGCTTGGTGGCAAGCCTAACCACTGAGCCATTCCACTGGCCCTTACTTATTGACAGACAATGTTCTATTTAAAAAGTTAGTATTGGGCTGGGAATGTAGCTCAGCTGGCAGAGGGCTTGCCTAGCATGAATGAAGTCCTGGGCTCAATCCCCAGCACTTTATAACCCTATGTGGTGGGGTGAATGCCTGTAATGGCAGCATTGGAGAGGTGTAGGGAGGAGGGTCAGAAGTTCAAGGTCATACTTGGCTAGAGAGTTCGAGACCAACTTGAGCTACATAATGTTGTCTTTCATAGTAACATGAAGTCATGTGTCTATACAAGAAATGAAATAGAAGTGAAATTGTTTAGAGTAATACAGGGGACAAATGGGAGGGAGAGAGATAAGAAGAGGGAGGGCAGAGGGGAGGGTGACTTAAACACATGATAACCTGTACAAAAAATGAAAAATAATTGAAAAATTTAAAAATACATTTATAAAGTTATCTCAAACTGAGAACTTAGCTCAAATGGTGGAGTGCTAGCTTAGCATTCACAAGCCCCTAAGTTTGATCCCCTGTACCATGTAATATGGGTGTGGCAGTCTGTGCTTGTAACCTAGGCACTCGGGCAAGAAGAGCAGTTCAGGGCCATTCTCGGCTGTGTAGCAAGTTCGGGGCCATCACAGGCAACTGGAGACTGATGGGAGATGCCATTCTGTAAATATGTTTCTCATACTGGTTAATGACTAAAGCACTGTTGGCCAATAGGAAAGGAAGAGAGGAGGGACTAGGAGACAAGGAGGAAAGAGGAAGGAGTAGGGAGGAGTCAGGATGGAGAGTCTGGAGAGAACAGAACCGCCGTGCCTCCGCTCTCGGTAAGACCACGTGGAAATACATAGAAATGGGTTAATACTTAAGACAGAGCTAGCCGATAAGAAACTAGTACCTGGCCACCAGCATTATATCAAATACAGAGTCTCTGTGTGTTAATTGGGGCTGGCGTGGCGGCAGGACAAGACCAGGCAGCAGGAGGAAAAACCTTACTCCTTACAGGAGACCCTATCTAAGAATAACAAAAACAACAGTTATCTATTGAAGATGTAAGCAGGCTGGAAGCTTCTTGTTTTTACCGTTTATTTACTTAGAAGTTCTAAGGATGAAAACTTGTGAAATAGTAAGTAGAGCAGCATTGTTAAGGTTGTCTCAGAAGAAGGGAATCGGCTCAGCCTTTTACCCTAAGCAGGGACACCCTCATTAACTTTCATCACACGTTCAAAAACACTAAAAATTCTCTGTCTTTACCAATTTTTGAACTCAAGATAGATGCAAAAAGTTTATCTTATCTAGTGATGTAGTTTAGTGGTACAATACTTGCCTAGCATGCACAAGGCCCTGAATTCAGTCCCACAAAACAACAACCAACTATTTTGACTTCTTCATTAACTGTTTAGATCCTGGAAATCAACTTAGAATTTATGGTTTTCCTAGACTCTAAGCCAGTGATTCTCAACCCTTAGGTCAAGACCCTGTTGGGAATGGGAGGTGTGGCAAACAGTCTTTTCACTGGGATCACGTGCCAGATATCCTATATCCTACATATCAGATATTTATATTACTACTCATAACTAGTAAAATTACAGTTATTAAGTAGCAACAAAATAGTTTTGTGGTTGGAGGTCACCACGACAAAAGAACTGTAGTGAAGAGTGTCAGCATTAGGAACGTTGAGAACACTGCTCTAAGGTGTATTATGATAGAAACATGCCTATAAACCTAAAGTAATGCCATTAACCTAATATAATACTGAGAGTAACATGGCAACAAGATTTATGACTTTACCTAGATTTACAGGAAAGAATTTCAATACCTGTGGCAAACAGCAATACCTAATACAAAAGAGAGCAGGTATAATGTGAAAGAAGTTTAAAAACAAAAACAATGATTTCCTAAGTAGAAAATAGTCTTGTAGTATTTATTTTTGTTTGTTTTGAGAAAGGATCCTGCTACACAGCCCAGGCTGGTCTTGAACTTGAGAATACAGCACTCATAGTCCTGAGACCCCTATATGAATTCTTTCTCCATATTCATAGGAAAGAAAGAATTGTGAAGAGTGTACTCACCAAATAGCCTAGGAAAAGCATGGTGATGAGGGGCACTCTCCCTTGCTCAAGCAGGACCTTTATAGCCATGGCTCTCATCAAACGTGTTTATCCCTGAAAAGATAAGAAGGAAGACACAGTTAACATTCAAAGTCTTAGGAACCACTCTCTTCTTACTATACAGTGATGCGACCACCACTTTCTGTACACACAGGGCACCAATTGTTACTTATCTTTTATATCTTTTAAAAGAACCATTCTATTTCAGAGAGAGAGAGTGTGTCTGTGTGTGGTTTTCCTGCTTGGATGAGACCAACAGGGTAATAACAGCAACAAAACAACACTTCTAAGCACCATCTCTAGTATGCTAATTTGTTTAGTCCAGAGACTTCTAGAGCAGTGGCTCTCTACCTTCCTGATGTTATGACCCTCTAATACAGTTCCTCATGTCATGGTAACCCCTCTCATAAATTATTTTGTTGTTACTTCATAACTGTAATTTTCTACTGTTTTGAACCTGTGTAATGTATATATCTGTGTTTTCCCTATGAAATCATCACTCAATGTGTTTCAGCCCTCAATGAGGTCAAGACCTACAAGTTGAGAGCCACAGTTCTAGACCATCATCAATACTATCATTATTTAGAGATGGGGAAATTTAGCATCAGAAATGGCTAAATAACTTGCTCTGGGTTACTCTGCAGTTAGAGCCAGATCAGATGCAAAGCCCAAATGGGGCAGTTCTAGGGCAACACAAAGCTCTCTATGAATGAAAACCCTGCACAGATCTGGGACTGTGGCGTCCTCCCAGGAACAGATGCTAGATCTGAGGCTGGGCTTGAGTGAATCCTCCCCAACACTGCACAACACAGAGTGAGGCTGGGTGACCAATAAACTCTCATTTGCAAACATCTAAATGTCACTTAAATAAGGGATGCAACGAAAGGCAAGGATCTGACATTTCAATAAAACGTAAACCCAGCCTCTTGATATTCACCAGGAATTTTTTTAAATATAGAAACAAAGCTATTTTTGCTTGTTTGTTTGCTTTGTTTTTCAGATGTTCAAAAGGTCAGGAGAGGAGGCCTGTGGGGATGAGGTTTTTTTTCGTTTGTTTTGTTTTTATTTTAAGCAAAGCCTCCCCAGATGGCTCCATCTATCTGGAAGGGAAACAGCAGTTTGGTGTATTTGAAAATGGAATCTTCCATAGCTAACAGGGATAGGATGTGCGATGCCACCTACTAGTTAGAACCAGAGCAAAGAATGGGAACAGGGACCACAGAGCTCAAGCAAAACAGTATAAGAACAGTGCAGGGAGTCAGAGCTGAGACTGAGGCCACTGGGACCCAGAGGTCCCATCCAGCTGCCCCCTTTGACAGGCACTGTCAGGACAGACACTGCTGCCAGTGCTCTGAATAAACACCCATTTTGGGTGAATTCAAACCTTTCACCCTCTTGATTGTGTCTTTCCCCAACATACTTCAGACATATCCATGGACTCTGCTGCCTCTACAGAGGGGCTGAAGGTGGGGAGGTGGGGGATGCCGGGAGGGGGGTGCTAAGGAGATGGATTCTATTCCTTGAAGTATATATCACAAGTTATTGCTTGACATGGTTCTAAGATGTGAAAAATGTGTGATCACGATCAACAGAAGGCTCTCTGGGAACCCCGTGTGAAGTGCTGGGGAACACGGACAGATTGCAGACATCCAGGGCTGCTGAGATGGCTCAGCCAGCAGGTTGTTTTTCGAGACTAGCTGGGCAGCAAGCCCCAGAGATCCTCCTGTGTCCCATCCACACTGGTCTGATCATACGCACAGTTGTGCCTGGCTTTTTATGTGGAAGTACTCTCTAACCCCTCTCCCCAATCCTCCCGTGAGGTTTTTGTTTTCTATTTATTTTGAGCTAAGGCTGTGCTAAATTGCCCCATGCAGGTCTTGAACTCATCTCCTCAGTTTCCCAAACAGCTGAGATTAGAGGTCTGCTTCAACCAAACCCAGTTCAGAATGAATTCCAATCAATGACAGGCACAGCTCCCGGTCCCACTGCTAACAGGGAACATCACAAAGCAGCTGCATGAAGAACAAACCCCAGAGCCTGTGGGGAACAAGCCAAGCATCCCAGCAGGATAGGGAGTCCTCCAGCACAGTGGGATAGGCCAGTGATACAGGGTGTTTCTGGAACATGGAAACTATGATAAAGTATTGCTGTCCATCATGGTATAGTGTTTAAAAAACACTTTTAATTCTCTAAGATTCCATGCATGCACACAATGCATTTTGATCATATTTCTGCCTCCTTCCTTCTCCTAACTCTTCTCAGCTCCACTCCTACTCTCCATCTCTCCCAACTGTTGTGTCTTTTTAAAACTAAAAGTAATCTAGGGAATCTAATTTGTGCTGCCCATGTACTAATGGGTGGGAGGCCATCCACTGAACCATGGACCTACCTACCATTAAAGAAAACCAATTCTCCCTCTCCAGGAAGTCATTAGTGAAGAGCTCCTCAGCTAGAGGTGGTGGCCTATGAGGCCCTCCCCATGCTAGAATGTTGAATGGCTTGATTTTGTGCAGGCCTTGGACAGGCTAGCACAGCTGCTGTGAGTTCGTTAGTAGCATAACCCTGTCATTTCCAGAAGAGTAGTTTTCACCCTAGTCCCCACCTCTGGCTCTTACAAAATTTTCCATTCCGTCTTCCTTGATGCTCTCCAAGCTTGGTGGAAATGTATATGATACAGATGTCCCCAAAAATGTGGTGGAAAACTCCATAAATAGTTATTCTCTGTACTTTGGCCAGAGAATTAACTACTTCTGTGTTAACTGCCATCTAATGCACAAAGAAACTTCTCCAATGAGGTCTGAGAGCTACACTGATCTATAGACACAGAGATAGATTTTGCTACTATGTCCTTTAGACTATGAATATTAATACATTTTTACCTTTGGAATCCATGAACTTGCCAACCATGGGTTTGGGTCCATATTTACAATACTAGCCATGTATTTCATCTTACATATAATTTGATAATTGTTGGTTACCCCCATAACATCCATGGCATATCTTGCCACATCAGTTGTTACTGGAGTTCACTGGACTCCCACCTGGTTAAGATGGTTGATGACGTTCTCCCCAGCAATCCCCATAATGCCTTCCAGTACTATGAAAGCTAGCCAGCAGGAAGGAAGTTTTCTGGACGTCTACTTGATTTCTCCACGTACTGTGAATAAAGTAAATGGTATCTTCATCATTTGTGTTTTTACACCAAGTTCTGGTGGGCAGCTAAGAGCAATGGCAATAGCCATTTTGTTTGAAGATCTCCAGGACACCCACAAGCAACAGCTCAATGGAGGTACCCTATGCCAAGTACTGCGCTTTTTATTTGGCAACCCATAGCTTCTAGGAGGCACATTATCCGTTATGTAGGCTAACTCCAATTGAACGTGTTTGTGTGTAAAAGGCTTACAAAATAGTAGGCTTCCATATCGCTTTTTCAAACATCTTTAGTGATAGGCATCTCCCACCCAACTCCCTCCTCTGCTCAACATTCGCATCCCTCTCTCCACTTAAACACCCTTCCCCATTACTTCCCCTTTCCTCTTTACATTAGTTATGTGTTACTATCCCCCTCTCTTATGTTATGACATTTTTTATTGAGCATCAAATTAGTTTGTATGGGACAATCGTCCTTGAAGACTAATCCCCTGTCAGACCACCTTGGGATATCACAGTACAGCCTGGGGAGAGCAAGAACTAGTTACCCACCATTTACGCTCACACAAGGCCGAGTCCTGTATTTATAAAAAGCATACTGCTCTTACTTTTAAGTAGGTATCTATCTCCATGCAATGGAAAGAGAGCAAAAGCCAAAGCTACTAGAACCAATGGAGGTCATATCAAATTCCTGTCTGGTGACCCCATGTGGGGGCAGGGTCTTCAACATCTGTCATGTCTCTGCAGACTTGAGTCTTGTGTGACTTCATTATTGGGGAAAGTAGAATTGCATCAACAAAGCTGCTGGCAAGTAAGAAAACAGCAAATTTAATCATTGTTCTACTTGTTCAACCAAGTTTGAGTGTGGAGTCATGAGTGGCATGTGTGGAGATGGTGCTAACATGGTACATGGAGGCAGCTCACCACTCAGTAGGAATCATTCTCTTCCACATGCCCTTCATACCCTGGCCAAGGAGCACCTTAGAGACCAACAGTTTCACTGTGGTGTGTTATGAGTGTGAGCATGAATTTCCTGGAATAAAATGATGTCCCTTATGAAATTGTTTGGCATTCATTTAAAAAAGAAAAACATGATGAAATAACTAGTGTTAATAATATTTAAAATAAAACAAAATCAAGTCAATAAAAAGGCTATTTGTGAAATTGTTTTAAAACTCTAGCATTCAGGGTTTGGCTCACAGACAGACAGTAAGTACATTTATGTTTCAAGGTTCTAAGTATCTGACATCTACCCTTCAAGCCCCAGAAACACACATTACTGATAGCCCCTAAGTCTGAAGATTATGTAGTTTATCAAAATATCCATGCTGGAAACACCTTCCAAACACCCAGCATCCATACCTACAGAGCAGGTACAGGGAAACTGCCCTGGCTGCCCCTTCAGAAGCAGCATTCCTGCCGGCATATCTGCCTGCAGTCACACCAAGCAGGCTAACGGTATCAGAACTAGGCCAGAGTGTGAGGGTATGTCAACCCAAAGTACAAGGCTGGCATACATCTCTTCAGCTGCACGGAAGTGACTCTGACACACACAGCTGCTCGGCCTGCTCATCTGTGTGATGGGCACTAATGCAGATGTGTCCCAACTGGCCTAGCTTGGCAGGAACAGAAATACAACAGGTGCTGAAGATGCACACCCCTGGCACTTGTTGAGAAAAAAAAACCCACAAATCTGTGCCATGTGTACATGGGCAAAGATACCTAGAAGCGGCAGCTCAGGAGAGCAAGGCCCAGGAGATTCTAAGTCTGTCCAGCTGGGCTCAGATTTTGGCAAATTTCCGATTCTGGATTTCTGGGATGGGGATGATAACCTCACTTAGCAACTGTCTCTAAGAAGGGAAAACTGATTTTTATCATCCTAGTTTAAACAATAAGTAACATTT